ATTGTTTGCTGAGAGAGAATTGGATCGGATTGTGATCGAGTCATGTGTCCTTTTGTACTTTCATTCAATTTGTACGGTTATTTTCAGGTCCAATACATGATTATTCCACAGACTTAAATACGGGCAAAGTTCTCTACACATAAACTGAGCTTCCTATGTGAATTCTTTATTTATTCGCACACTTGCTCTTTTTCTTAGTATACTTTTAGTTGTAGTTGATATCTTTATTTTATCTACTTATTTCTATGTGGAACTGAGGATGGAACCCAGGGCCTGCACCCGCGAGAGGCGAGCGCTGTACTACTGAGCCACAACCCCAGCGCTCCCACACCTGCTTTTGGTCTGCGTATTTGCCTCCTTCCGGAAGGGCTGGCTAAAACTTGGAAAAGGGTGAGGCCAGCTTCGGGGCTGAGTCAAGGACCCCCACCCCACCCGCCAGCGCCGCAGACCCAAGCAGAGGCCTGAGGAGTCCTGCCAGGGCCGGGTGGAGCAGGGGTGCTGGGGGCGGAGGGGTAGGCAGTCTGGTTGCCAGGAAGCCAGGTGGGGACACAATGGGGCCTGGCATTGGGCGGGGGTGGGAGTTAGGGTGTCCAGCTCTCTCGCTTTGCCTTCCCAAGCCAGGAGCCAGCACAGCAGGTCAGTGCATCTCGAGGCCTTCGCTCCTAGAACCGGTTCCTCTCCCCAGAACCTTCCCCAACCCTAAAATCTTCCCTGCCCGAGGTCGGGGTCTGCGCCGGGCCTGCGCGCGCACCCCTACACAAACCCGTCTGCGGGTAGGCGGCCGAGATGGCCCTGAAGGTGGCTCGCTGCCCCAGGCCCCGCCGCGGGGCCGGGACACCACGGTTTGTTTTCCGGGCGCCCGGGATACGGGGTGGGCCCCGCCCCCAGGGCTGCTCCGCCGCGGAGCCGGGTCGCGGGTTCCGCGCGAATCCGAGGTGGAGGGGCCGCGGCCGCCACCATCTGTCCACAGGTGCTGCCGGCTGTACGCGCCCCCGCTCGCGTCATGGGCTCGGACTACTGGGTGGGCCCTTGGCGGCCACACCGGCCCCGGGGCCCCATCGCGGCGCTCTATAGAGGACCCGGGCCCAAATACCAGCTGCCGCCGAACACCGGTAGCAGGGGCCGGCTCCGGGGAGGGCGAGGGGCGCCCGGGCGGGTTTGCGTCTGGGCTGCGGTGGTCGTACCCGGAGCCCGGGGGCAGAGTCGGTGCAGGGGATGGGGGGCCGTGCTGGGGGAGGGCGGGGGGCGGCCCGGTTGATGCTGGGACGTTCCGCAGGCTACATCCGGCACGACCCCTCGCGGCCCCGCGCCCCCGCCTACACCTTCGGTGCGCGCTTCCCCACGCAGCAGTCAACCTGCGGCCCCGGGCCCAGCCACCTGGTGCCCTCCCGCATGACCGTGCGCGGCCCGGACAGCGCCCCCGCCTACTCCATCTGTGGCCGCCTGCGGCACTCTGCGCCCTCCCGCACTCCCGGACCGGGTCAGGACCCCTGGGACCCTGGTCTCCCCAACGCCTCCGGGGAGGTGCACCTGGGAACCTCCCCACCTGAACCCCGAGACCCCCTCTCTACCCTAACATCGTATATTCCGGATCTCAAAGTCCAGAACCCCAAGCCCCACAAGGCTGTGACAAATTGTGGTTCCGATTCCCCAATTCCAAGACCCTAACCCGGCTCCCCCAGACCCCCCCCCCCCCCCCCCCCCCCCCCCCCCCCCCCCCCCCCCAGTTCTGGCCCACACCTTGGTCTGTCCCCCAGGGAGGTATTTCCCAGAACGAGCCGGGAATGCGACGTACCCCAGTGCGCCTCGACATACCATTGCTTCCCGAAACTGGGGTGTCCACGCGGAGCCGCAGGGTCCAGGTGAGACCTGAAAGGCCCCGCCCCGGGACCGCCCGCACGCGCGCAGACCGCAGTGACCGACCCCTGGCGGCTCCTTCAGGTCCCGGCGCCTACACGGTGCCCTCGCTCTTGGGCCCGCGCGTCATCGGCAAAGTCTCGGCCCCCACTTACTCCATCTACGGCCGCACCAGAGTGGGCAGCTGCTTTGAAGACCTCAGCAAGGTGCGAGGAGGGCCGCCGGCCCAGCGCAGCGAGAGGTCAAGAGGGTCAGAGGTGCGCGGGGAACCCAGGCCAGACCCAGCACTCACTTTGCCTCCCACAGACGCCGGGCCCCTGCGCCTACCGCGTGGTGAACCCCGGGGTCTACAAGACCCGGGCCCCCCAGTTCACGATGCTGGCGCGGACTTCGTTCCCCCAAGACAGCACCCTGAAGCCCGGACCCGCAGCCTACAACGTGGACCAGGTGGTCTGGAGTTCAGGGTCAAGGGTCAGAGGCAAGGGATGAGGATCCCCAGTCGAGGGTATGGGTCGGGGTTCAGAGAGAACAAGGCTCCCCGCGCGAAGCGGTACGCCCCCGGCTCCGCGAGGTCAGCGACGTCTTCTGGTCCGCAGCACCGGAAGCCTCGCGGCTGGACCTTCGGGATCCGGCATTCGGACTACCTGGCCCCAATGGTGACCCACGTGGACGACTGACCCGCGGACGGGGTGGGGGCACAGGCCCACCGCAGTGCGCTTAAAGCTTCCGGAATCAGCCACGTGTCCGCCTCTCTCTCTGTGCACGGGCGGGGTCAGGGCGGGAGCGTCGAAGTCTGTTGGAGAGCTGGAGAGGGGTGTCCCCGCCGCACAGTGCCGGGAACTGGGCGGAGCCCGACAGAAACCGGGCGGCGCCCACTCCCGAGCCTCGAGGTCCCGGAAGCCCTGCATTCGTCAGGCAACTCGCGGACTGGCCGCAGGCTGCGAGCAAGGCTACTGGCCAGATCCTACAAGCTGTGCCTGCGGTCCTTGGGCCGCTCTGGGTTATTGCCGACCTGCCCCTGCTGGTGGCCAGTGGCCAGGTGTGCACGGCACCTGCAGTCTCGACCCCGTGGCCAAGGGTGACGTGGGGTGGAACCCGAGCAGACTCCGGAACAGGACGGGCGAGGGCCGCAGTACGGAATAGGTATGGGCCAGGGTCACGTTGTGAGAGCGAAAAGTGGAAGTCAGACACCGAAGGAGCGACACAGTCATGGAACCCAAGGGTGGACACCAGAGACACACACAGGAGCCGAGTCGGGTCAAGGGCAGGGGGTGGCAGGGACATGGATGGAGGGGTGGGGAGGGAGGGCGTTGTCCTGGGCGATATATGTGTCTGGCTTCCCCGCAGGCCCAGAGCAATGGCAGCCCCAGGAACTCCAGCCCCACCAACCCCAATCGCACCAGGTGATGGTTTGCTGGGAGGACGGGGGGGGACCTCCTGACTCAATGCCAGGGGCCAAGCAGCTCCCAGTGCTGATCCGCAGGAAGCGAGATGGAGGCCGCTTAAGTGAGGAGGACATCAAGGGCTTCATCAGTGCTGTGGTGGAGGGGAGTGCACAGGGGGCACAGATTGGTATGTCGGGAGAGCCAAACACCCCAATTCCCACTTAAACTCTGGCCCCCACAACCCCATAGACTGCCTGTCCCCATGCCACAGCACCCCATCACTGATGCCAAAATACGATGCTGTGGGGACATCCCCTCTATGTTCACATCCAGGGGCCATGCTGATGGCCATCCGGCTGCAAGGCATGGATCTGGAGGAGACCTCTGCGTTGACCCAGGCAATGGCCAGGTCTGGGGAACAGCTGCAGTGGCCAGAGGCCTGGCACCAGCAGCTTGTAGACAAACATTCCACAGGGGGAGTGGGAGACAAGGTCAGCCTGATCCTGGCACCTGCCCTGGCTGCGTGTGGCTGCAAGGTTAGAGACTACTTCCTCTCCAAAACCTTGACTCAGTCAGCAACCGGGCCACCCTCACTTCCCAACTCTGGTCTGAAGACAGAACCCAGGCTTGTCCCTGCCAGCCCTCAGTATGGAACTGGGGTCCGCCTTAAGCCACAGCAACAGAAAACAGCCCCTGCTTCCCTGTAGGGAGAGGGTCCTGAAAGAAAGAGCTAGCTACTACTTTCTCTCTGTGCCCAGACTTATCTCCAGGGATGGTAACCACCTTCTCCCTCACTGACATCTGTACTCCCCCTCCTGGCCAGGACAGTTATTCTCCATTCTCAGCTGGGTTAATTCCAGCTAAAGTCTATCTAGGGAAGGTGAGGAAACACTTTTGAGTGAGTGGTGAGGGGGACCGTGCAGGTGAACTCAGCCAATATCCTTGCCTGCCAGGTGCCAATGATCAGTGGACGTGGCCTGGGGCACACAGGGGGCACCCTGGACAAGCTGGAGTCTATTCCTGGGTTCAATGTCATCCAGAGCCCACAACAGGTACAGGCAGGCCACTGACTTTTTATCTGGATTGATGGAGATCTTAGCCATAATCATGGAAGGGTTATTCATCAGAGTCATTAATGGGAATACTGAGTATTCAAAGGTCACTGATAGTCATTGGGCATGGGTCAGGGTGGAGGGAACTTTGATCAGGATCATCACTGGGGACTTGGTCAAAACCACTGGTGGGGCCGGGCATGGTGGCGCATGCGGCTGGGGAGAGATAGGAGGATGGCTAGTTCAAAGCCAGCCTCAGCAAGAGTGAGGCATTAGCAACTCACTGAGACCCTGTCGCTAAATAAAATACAAAAGGCTGGGGATGTGGCTCAGTGGTCCAGTGCCTTGGTTTAAAAAAAAAAAAAAATCACTGATGGACTACTAATTTACAGCTATACACTGATCATCTTTGTCAGGTCACAGAGCAGAGCCACTGCTGAGAATCTAGAGTCATCCATAGGTCACTGTCACTGAACAGGGCCAGTAGGATCCTTCATCAGAGGCCACTGGGGGGGCGGGGTGTCTTGACTAGATGCAAGTGCTGTTGGAGCAAGTGGGCTGCTGTATTGTGGGTCAAAGCAAGGAGCTGGTTCCTGCAGATGGAATCCTGTATGCTGTACGAGATGTGACAGCCACTGTGGATAGCCTGCCACTCATCACAGGTGACCTGACTCAACTCCAGGGACAGCTCTCTGCCTATGGGGGTTATGACCCCTATCTCTGACCTCACAGTCAAGGTCCTCTTATTAGAAGGACCCTAGTGAGAATACCTGACCACAGATTCATGAGGGTGACCTGATGCTTAACGCACTAGGCATTGCCACCCCATCCTAGGGGCCAGCCCCTCCTCACCCCAGAGTCAGCGTCACATGGAGTGATATCTCTGCCTCCCCCCAATAGCCTCCATCCTCAGTAAAAAGGCGGTGGAAGGGCTCTCTGCCCTGGTGATAGACGTTAAGTTTGGTGGCGCTGCAGTCTTCCCAGACCAGGAGAAAGCTCGGGAATTGGCAAGAGCACTGGTGAGCCCCTGCACATGCTGGGCCAGTGTAAACTCAGAGAAGCCCCTGCCCCCGTGGGCCCCACCTCCTTACACCCTCACTCGCCTCTGCCCACTCAGCAGTCCATCCCTCCCTCCTTCACCCGCCATCAGCCTTCACTGACCGAGGCTTAGTCTTATGCCTTTAGAAAATCTCCAGGTTGCTCCTCCACCCCACGCCAGACTCAAAATGCTTCCGACACCCACAGTTGCGGACTGGCATAGTGCTTCTGGTCCCCACCCCCAAGCCCTCAACGACCTCGTTCTGAGGGTCTGGCCACCCAGGGTACTTCCGGAGCTGGAATTTGATGATGCAAGATTGGGGTGCCAAGTAGAGTCCACACTGAGCCAAGGCTCTGCAGGTTGGCGTGGGGGCGGATCTGGGGCTTCGGGTGGCAGCAGCCCTGACAGCCATGGATAACCCTCTGGGTCGCAACGTGGGCCATACCCTGGAAGTGGAGGAAGCGCTGCTCTGCCTGGATGGCACGGGGCCACCGGACCTGCGGGACCTGGTCACTAGACTCGGTAAGGGAAGCGGTTGAGGTTGGGGACTGCAGAGCCGCCCTACCGGACGCCCAGGCCCTACGGCACCTAAAACTCGCCCTGCCGACTGGCAGGGGGTGTCCTGTTATGGCTCAGTGGACATGCGGGTAGCTCGGCCCAGGGCACCGCCCGGATCGCTACGGCACTGGACGACGGCTCCGCGCGGCGCCGCTTCGAGCAGATGCTTGAAGCACAGGGCGTGGATTCGAACCTGGCCCGATCACTGTGCTCCGGGACCCCGGCGCAGCGTCGTCAGTTGCTGCCCCACGCCCGGGAGCAAGAGGAGTTACACGCGCCTGCGGACGGTGAGCGCCAGGGACCCGGGCCCCCAACCCGCTCCCAACCCGGGTCCCTCCTGAGGCTGCCAGACGCTTTCACTCTCTTCCCGCAGGCACCGTGGAGAGCGTCCAAGCGCTGCCACTAGCGCTCGTGCTGCACGAGCTCGGGGCCGGACGCAGCCGTGCAGGGGAGCCAATCCGCCTGGGCGTGGGCGCCGAGCTGTTGGTGGACGTGGGTCAAAGCCTAAGCCGAGGTGAGTACCACCCAGGACTCCAGGCCACGTCGTCTTCCCCGCCCCTTCCGGGTGCGTCCTCCCGCCCCGGAAGTCCTGACCGTCCTCGCCTGGCAGGGACGCCCTGGCTCCGCGTGCATCTGGACGGCCCTGCGCTAAGCGATTCGCAGCGCCGAGCACTGCAGGCAGCGCTTGTGCTGTCTGATCGCGCGCCCTTCACGGCCCCCTCGCCCTTTGCGGAGCTGATCCTGCCGCCCACCGCCGCTCAGCCTTGAAGCCCGACGGCCTCCGAGCCAAGTACGTGCAGGGGCGGGGCGGGCCGCGCCGCACGTGACCTCGAAGCATGCGCCGTGATGGCGAGCGGGGACGGCGCTGCTTCCGGGGTTGGTGCCCCGGGCGCGGTGCGGGCATCGGAGTAGGGGGGGTCCCGGCTGTACCTGCGCTGTTTTTCCAGGGCTTTCCGGCCGCCTTCCCGAGGGGCCGAACCTGGGGACACTAGGACCGAGGTGGCCCCAGGCACCGTCTCATATCCTTGGGGATTTTCTGGAGGGCAAGCTCCGTGCTCTATCCCTGCAGCCACCCGTTTGGGTGTGGGGGCCCAACCTTCGCCAGGCAAGGACTGTAGGGGTAGCAGGGAGGTGCGTGTGGGACCTCCAGGAGGGCGCATACGTCGTCTGCCAGCTGAGGTTAAGTCTGGCAGTGCAGGTTTTCTGCTGAGCCTGGGAGGAGACCGGAGAGCCACCGTTGAAGTAGCCCTTGAGGTGACCGGCTGGAGAGGGCTACTTCCGTCAAGAAGTAGATTTATTTCAGATATATTTGCTTGCAGTGCCCTTGTTAAGCAGGACAAGAGGCTCACAGAAGTGAATGCTGGGCTGGGCTTTGCAGGTGCAGGTACAGGGCAGGGTGAGGTAACGAGATCAAGGCTACTAGGCTGAAGGGACAGGAGGGACTGTTGTGAAACTGGCCATATGTGGACTTTGGTGCCACTTAAGCTGGAGCTTGAGGTTTCAAAGGTGGACAAGTTTGGAGCTTCAGCGAGCAGGTGCAGGAGGCTGGCAAGCCAGAGTAGGAGGCAGGTCTCCAGGGAGGGGACCCCAGGCACCTTTTGGTGCTCTCTTTCTGGGGCCTGACATCTTTGCTTTCTTTCAGGAGGATCAGGTCCATGCTGTTGCTGGCTCGGGGGCCCAAGGCCAAGGCTTGGCTTTGGCTTTGGCAACTTAGGCCACCAGTACCCCCTATGACCCCTGGAAATGAAGCCCTGCACATGAGGCCCCGGCACTTCTCGTGGCAGGGCCCACCTCAAGGCCCTAGGCTTCGAACCAGGCTGCTCATCACTGCCCTATTTGGGGCTGGGCTGGGTGGGGCCTGGCTGGCTGCCAGGGCTGAGAAGGAACAGCGGCGGCAGCAACAGCGGACAGAAGCCCTGCGCCAGGCTGCTGTGGGTCAGGGCGACTTCAGCCTATTGGACCACCAAGGCCAGGCTCGCTGCAAGGCCGACTTCCGGGGCCAGTGGGTACTGATGTACTTTGGCTTCACACACTGCCCAGACATCTGCCCAGATGAGCTGGAGAAGCTGGTACAGGTGGTACAACAGCTGGAAGCCAAGCCTGGACTGCCCCCTGTGCAGCCCATCTTCATTACTGTGGACCCTGAGCGGGATGATGTGGCAGCTATGGCCCGATATGTGCAAGACTTCCACCCAAGACTGCTGGGTCTAACGGGCTCTGTTGAGCAGGTGGCCCAGGCTAGCCGCAGCTACCGTGTGTACTACAGTGCTGGCCCCAAGGATGAGGACCAGGACTACATTGTCGACCACTCCATTGCTATCTACTTGCTAAACCCTGATGGCCTCTTCACAGACTACTATGGTAGGGGCAGGTCTGCTGAGCAGATTGCAGACAGTGTGCAGCGGCACATGGCTGGCTTTCGCAGTGTCCTCTGAACCACTGCAGCCTGGGGCCATCATTAAACCACACTTCTAAGTTGTGTGTGTGTGATCTGTGCCAGCAGTCCACAGGAAGCCAGGCAGCTCTGCAGAGTAGATAATTTCAGTGGGTTTTGTTTTAAGGGTAGGTGAGATGGCAACACAACTTTTATTAGGCTGGGCCAGCCAGGAGGCAGAAGCAAGCTCTCAGCACACAGGGAGAACTGGCCCACCCTCCCATCACAGCTTCTGCTTAGGGCTGGGCCATGGAGGGAGCCGTGTAGGTCTGAAAGCGCTTGTGGGCTCGCTGGTGAGTGAGCAGTCTCAGAGACATGGTGTCCACAGCTGCTTCCAGCCCTGGCTGTTGGCTGATCTCCACCGTGTAGTCATTGGCCTGCAGGGGCAAGCCATCAGCAAGGTTTGGGGACCATCTTCCCCACCCATGAGACCCGAGGCACTCACCAGCTGCAGGGAGGCCAGCATGGAGCGACACACCTCAAAGGCAGGCTGGCCTGCCACCAGCTCTGCAAAGGGACACCACTTGTTGAGCTGGGGGAATCGTGAGATCACCTGGTCCCCGTACGTGTGGATATCAAAGGGCACATGCTGCTCCTGCATGGGGGAGGGGCGTGTTGGTGACAGAGAAGGACAGCGTGGGCAAAGCTCAGGCAGGAAGCCCCGGTCCTCAAGAACTGCCTCACCTGCTCCAGGAGCAGGGGTTGGATGGTGTCTTCCCAGTCCCTGATGCGCTGGCTCAGCTCTGTCTCCTGGACAAACTTCTGGGAGTTGGCGATGAAGAGCTCCTGGGGGGGACCGTAGGGACTTCCATCTTGTGTGCAGGGACCTGAGGCTTCCTCACCCGACTCCCTGCCTCTGACCCAAGCCTACCACATTCCTTCGAACCAGCTCCTCGTAGCTCAGGGACTCTGGCATGGCCTCTGCCTCTGAGAAGGGCCGTCTGTGAGTTGCTGCAGCTGTGGTGCTGCCACGCCCTCCCCTCCAACAGCTCCCGCTCCCTCAGACATACCCAGGTCAGCAGCCTCCCCAGGCTTTGCCTCCTCGGGCTCCACATACCCTTCAGGTTCCAGAAAGTCGTCTGCTGGGACACAGGAGAGACAACCACAGGCAGGAAGTCAGCTGGTTCTACTGATGAGCCCCACCCCAGAGCCAGCAAGCACCCACCTGTTGCCCCCAGGTCTTCCAAGGACTCCTCCAGGCGGTCATCCTCTGCAGGCCACAGGCCCTCTTCAGCCCTAGGCAGCCACCGCTCAGTTATCTGTTCAGAGAGAGCATCTGTGAGGACACTGTCCTCTTCCACAGGGGCCCCCTCAGCCACACAGGTACTCACCTCCCGCCTCTGCAGTGTCCGGAGGGTCTCCAGCTGCTCCTTCACATGCTTCCAGTACAGAACCTCCATGTCTACAGATAAAAGCTTTGTGAGGGGCTCCCCTCTCCTGTCCAGGCTCATTCCAGTCCACCCAGGGCCTTGGGTGACCCTGTTCAGGTAGAAGGCACAGTAAGGTTGCACAGGGGGCCTTGCCTCACCTGCAAAAGTCGGGCCTTTTCTCCGGGGCCTCCTGCTGTCAGCGTGGTCAGCATCTGTGAGGAAACTTGGTCGGCAAGAACCAGGCCAAGGCCTGGACCTCCCCATCAGTTAGGGACTGCCAACAGCATTAGGGAAAGATTGCTGTCCTCCTTCCTCCACCAGCCCTGACCTGGCCCCAGCACCCAGGGACAAGGTGTCCCAGCCAGCCCACCATGTACTCACAGGTGGCCAGGTACCACCATGTACTCACAGGTGGCCAGGTACCACCATGTACTCACAGGTGGCCAGGTACCACTGGTGGAAGTCCTGTAGCTTGGCAGTGCCTTTCCTCTTGCGCTTCTGTCCTGGAGCCTCCTCCACACAGGGGGGCACAGAGTACGGCCTGCCTGGGGTCAGGCTGGGGCTGTCTCAAGAGCAGCCATGGGACTGGGGTCCAAAGCCCACCCCCACCCTACTACCCCAGACCCCAGCACGCTGGGGAAAAAGAGCCTGAGTGGAGGTGTCCCCCACCCAGTTACCTTTCTTAAAGGGCTTGGAGTCCAAGGAGTCAAAGGGGTCTAGGCTCTGCCAAGGGTCTGGGGTCTCCTGGGCACAGAGCACAAGCAGATGCTGGGGGCGGTTAGGGCCGCACACCCTTCTTCCCAAGCCCAACACCAAGTGCATGACAGCCCAGGGAGAGGCTGCCCGCTCAACCCAGGGTCAGAGTATGACACCTGAGGCAGGGGAAGGGGCCCAGCCTGTGGGGGGGGGGACGTCAATTTCTGGAAGCCAGCCAGTTCCTCAAGAGTAAAGCCAGGAAGGGAACTGAAGGGCCACGGGAGCAGAGGCGTGACAGGGAGTCCTGCGGCTCACTCCCTGCCCCTCACCTTTAGCCGGGACATGGGGTCCGGGGCTCGCTCCCGCTCCCGCAACATGTACCTCCTGGTCAGGACGGCACTCTGCAAAGAAGGAGCCCACAGATGCCCTGACCTGCACCTGTCCATACAAGATGCTGGGTGCCCCAGCAGCTCTGCCCTGGGGTCCATGACAAGAACTCTGCAGGGACCCTCTTCGGGTCCCATCGTTCAAGGACTAAAAACAACCCTAAGAAAAACTCTAGAACATCCCAACTAGCCATCACAGAAGAACTTTTCTTTTTTCAAAATATAAAACAAAATATGGAATATGCAAACATCCGTGTTAACGTTCCCTCCCATCTAGGTCGGGTTGGTTGAAGCTTTTCTTTTTTAGTTGTAGATGGACAAAAGCTTTATTTTATTCAGTTATTTTTATGTGGTGCTGAAGATTGAACCCAGTGCCTCATCCGTGCGAGGAAAGTGCTCTGCCTCTGAGCACAATCCCAGCGCCTGCTTTGAGCTTTTTATTGCTGGACTGATTTGTGATGCGGGGGACTAAACCCAGGGCCCCAGGGATGCTCAGCAAGTGCGTTCCTGGAGCCACACAGCACACTGTTTTGTTGTTGTTTTAATGTAGAGATAAAAAGAAAAGAAATCCTTCTTTAGAAGGGGACAGATTCACCCCACGGGAATCGAGGAGGCAGCAGAGGCCTCTGGAACCATTCCCTCTGGCCAGCCTGACCCCAGGTACAGTGAGCTCCATGGGGTTCAGACCACTGATAGCAGCCCACCCCTGAGGAGCAGCAGCTGCTCCACTCAGAGGAGAAGGACACAGAAGCTGCCATGAAAAGGCTAGCTGCGGGGCGAGTCCCTAACTGGCCAGATGTATCCAAAGCAGACAGCAGGGAAAGACCAAAAGACCAATATGGGAAGCACCATATTGTGCTGTGCTCCCTGTGTGAGGGTTACTGCCCCAGGGTCAGGGCTGCCCAGTGGGCAGCTCAACTCAGTTGCCTCAGGGGCCCTACCTGGTGGGGGCTCCTGGGCTCCTCAGGCTCCACTGTGGCCTTGGGGGCTCTGGCCTCTGGGAGTTCTACTGCGTCAACCACCACCGCCGCCGCCTCCGCCACCTCCTCCTCCTCCTCCTCATCTCCACTGCTGGGCGCTAGGCCTTCTGGAGCGGTGCCTGGGCAGGCAGCAAGAAATCTGTCAGCCCCAGGGGATCCTGGAGCCCAGAGAGCAGACAGGGCTGCCCTTGGTGGAAGCCCAGGTAAACCTAACAGGACACTCCCTCTGCTCAGCGTCACTCCCTGCACATGAAGTATCTGCTGCACATGGAGGATCGGGCAGGCCTTACACTGTCACACTAGTGTCTTTGTTTGGCTCATTTCTTTTCTTTTTTGTGGTTCTGGAGATTAAACCCAGGGTCAGGCTGGCTTTGAACTTACAACCCTCCTGCCTCACTCTCCTGAGTAGCTGGGATTATAGGCATGGCCACCACACCCATCAGTTCATCTTCTTGCAAACCTTCCTCTCTATGTGCTGCCACCTATGTCTGTCCAGAGAAGGCCAGGAAGGCAGTCCAAGGCCAGTTGCTGAGGCTCCATGAGGCCGGGGCTCTTGAGCTCTCCAAGGCTGTGCCTGCTCCCCCTGCACCTCACCCCTCACAAGCTGCTGAGCCAGGGACAGGCACGGCAAGCTGGGGAAGCTGAGAGCAGCCCATCTGGAGTCCTGTCCACATCTCTGCCTCCTGGGTCCCTTCCTCAGCCCTGCCAGTCCACCAGAGATCTGCTCTCACCTGGCTGCTGGGAGAAGTCAGGCACAGTGACAGAATTCCGGCACCCAGAGACGTCCATTGGCTGCTCCTCGGCCCTCCTGGCATCTGGGAGGCAGGGGTGAGACAGAGGTCAGCACCCCCTATGTTCCGCCTCATAAGGTCCCTACCTGATGCCCAATGAGCCCCTCTACAGGGGCAACAGCAGGCAGAGCCCAGCAGGCCCCAGGCCTCAGGCTGGGGAGAGGAGTGGGTGTCATATCCCAGTACTGAAACTAGCTGGTCCCTCACTGGCTGGCCACTGAGGCACAGTGAAGGTGGGAGAAATGGATGAGCTTCAGCCAAGCCACCCAGTGGAGCAGGAGCCTGGGAGGAGGCAGCTCCCAAGAACAGAACTGGTGGGCACAGGGGAACCAACAGGAGTCCCTGAAAGACCCTTCCTTCCCTCCTACCAAGTGCCCAACACCCAAGCCCTTACCCTTCTGGTTTCTTGGTATGGTGCACGTGCCCACAGGCTCTATGGGGCACATGCCCACTGGCTCTAGCATGAAGGCCCCTTTGGGGTGAGGGGTGCACGTGTTCATCCTGAAATCCTTCCGGCTAGCCAGGACCTCACCCTGGTGGCTGTGTTGGCAAAAACACACTCACTGAAGAGGCCCTTCTTGGGTAGGCCTCTCCCCCTCCCCAAGCTGGGCTCAGGCCCATACCTGTACAGAGGGCTGCTGTTCTTCTCCACTTCATCAGGGGCCACCAGGGCCATGGGCAAGAGAGGGACAATAAGAAGCTCCTGCATGAAGGCCAGCATCAAGTGTGGGCCCTGAATGCCTTGAGCTCTTAGGCAAGGACCCACACAGAGCATTCCAGATAAACCCCCACCCCACCCAGAGAGCAAGGCACTCACACTGGGCACCTGGTCGTTCTTCAGATCTACATTAGCACGGGAGTCAGGGAAGTCGTCCAGCGACAGGAACTGTGGAGACAGCAGGAGTGCATAGAGTGCAGCTCAGACGCCACAGGGCAGGGGTCACCAATTCCACTCACCTCATCCTCTGCCTCCTGGGGGGCCTCCAAGCTGGCGGTCCCATTGGCCCCATCTTCCTGTGCTGAGGAGAGCTGCTTGGCTCGCCTGGGAGAGAAGAGCACCTCATGGGTGTCCTGGGGGCCACAGGGCCTTGAGCTGCACCCGCAGTGTGGAAGTGCTGGCCCCTGCCTCCCGGCTCCACCTCTACCACTCACCTCTTGCCAGAGATGAAATCGAGAGCCTGGTAGACCAGCGAGTAGAGGTACTCCACCTGGCAGCCAGAAGCCAGCAGTAAGGACAAGTGAAGGAGGCACCACCCACAACAGCCCACGGCCCTCCCACTCCAAGGCCTGGCCATCATCTCCAAGCCTCCAGCATGAGTCCTGCCAATTTTGCCATCAAAAATAATTCTCACGTCAAACTAGTAGTCTTACCAGCATTACCCCAAGGCTGCGTGCTTCTCTCCTGTCTCTGTTTTCCATCAAGCAGCAAGCATGGCCTCAATGAGTGTCACCACTACATCCCGAGGGGTGCCCCACACAGCCCTGGTGGGCAGGCCCCACAAATCAGGCCCCTCGCACAGGCTCCTGCCAGCTCCTCCATCCTAGAAGCCTGTGGGCCTCTGACAGCCCATCAGAAATCAAGCCACAGTGGGCCACCTGACAGATCATTCCCCTGGCTTCTTGTCTGTCTCCTCCACAGAACGCTCTTACCACTAGGGTGAGGGCTGGAGTTTTTCGAAATGCTGCTGATGAAGCACTTTCAGGTGAGAGGCAGGGGAAGCAGAGTGCATGCGTACCCTCGCCACCTCTGTGCTGCTGCAAGTGTGCACAAGGGATGACAGAACCCACAGCGCACACCACCCTCTCTTTCTGGCAGTGACAGTTTGTTTATTTTTTGCTAGAGACTGAACCCGGGGCTTCAGGCATGTTTAGCAAGCACTCTACCCTGAGCTACACCCTCAGGTCCCATGTACCATTTTAAACCCAAGATCATCCTTTGGTATTAAAATATGTGAATGAGTCAGGGGTGAGGCCTCTGGTGCTATCAGGGCAGGTCACAGACAGGATGAGCACTGTTCCCTGCCCCAGCAAGAAAACTGACCACCGGACACTTGCCACCAAAGAACCCCGCAGGGCCCACCTTCTTACTGTAGACACAGGCTGAGCCCTGGATCAGCAGTGCAGCCTCGATGAAGTTCATTGTGGTTTTGCCTTCGTCAAAAGAAATACAGATCTGGTCCAACTGCAAGAAACAACACCAGTGCCAAGGAAGCCAGGGCCCAGTCTGTGCCCATTCTGCCCAGGGAAGCCCTACCCACCACCGGCCATAGCCCAACAGCTCCAGCTCTGCTCTGATCCCGTCAGCTGTCTCAGGGTGTTCCCAGAGAGGAGAGACATGTCTTGTGATTCCCTATTTCCTGCATCCTCTAAGACCTGGTGTTTTGGAAGAGGGAGGCCCCCAGAGACCGCCCTGACCACAGCAGTTCCCTCAGACAACATGCCCACGAGCATCAGGGCCAACTCAGATGGACCTCAGCAGGAAGACTCCTTACCCTGAGGGAAGGAAAAGAACCTCAGGATGAACGCAACAGAAACAAATGTTAGGGTCTCCATCCTCTGAGCAGAGACCTTGACAAATAGGTCCAGTGAGGCATTCTCTTTCTTTTGCAACTCCCCGAGTCCCCTGAGCCTCAGCTCCTGCATCCCTCTAAACACCACAGTCCAAGGGGCTCCATCCTCAGCCCTCTCCTCCCATGGCACACCTGCCAATGCACCTGTTTGTCCACCCCATGCTACCATACGGCTACTCATGCTGACACATGGCTACCATCCATGTGTCAACAGTTCCCTGCCCATCTCTAGACCAGCTTTCTTCAAGAACTTGGCCTCATTAACAGAGGTACTAAGCACCCCCCAGAATGTTTTTTGAGGTATTAGAGATTGGACCAGGGCCTCACACATGCCAGACTCTACCACTGAGCTGCACCTCAGTGCCCCCCACATTTAACTCAGGATCTTCCCCACGAAGCAGGCTCCTCTACCACACTGCTCCCACCAACACTCAAAGCCCCTTCCTATTCCTGCCCTCTGATTTTGCTTTTCCTTCTGCCAGGAATGCCTGGCTCTAAATGTCCCAGTGTAAACTCCCCTGCAGGGGCCTCCTTGCCACCCATCATCAGTGATTTGTTGGTGTGTGGTACTGGGGATTGAACCCAGATGCACTCTACCACTGAGCCCATTTTATTTTTTATTTTGAGACAATCACTAAGTTGCCCAAGCTGGCCTTGAACTTGCAATCCTCCTGCCTCAGCTCCTGAGCAGAAGGGAGTGCAGGTAGGAGTCACCATGGCTGGCCCTGTCAGTGTTATCTTTTTGCACTACTTTCAAGTCTCTCCTTCCTTAGTGAACTGTGGACAGCATCAGGTAATTTCAGCCTTCCATTTAGTGCCCAATGCTGATGCCAAGTAAATATCTGATGAACTAAAGAAGTGGTAATATCAGAGCTAAGCCTGAAAAAACAGATAGAAACTCACCAGGCAGGTGAAAGCATAGGACTTCAGAAAGAGCAATCCCCTGCCTATGAAAAGGCAGTCAGCAGAGACAGGATACAACTGTTCAGAAAAATGCACCTCACACAAACATGGCCAAAGTGTGGGCTGCGCTGGCAAGAGAGCTAAGACGCTGGGCACTGTGCTGCACAAGGAAGGGGAATGATCTGCAAGGGCGTCACCAAGGGGAGCTAATTCCTGAAGGATAAAAGAAATTTGGGGGGTGGGGTGCAGGAGCACCAGTCTACAGAAGTGTGAGAGCTGCAGAGTGCCCTGCCCTGAAGAAAGGATGTACAGGAGGCCCAAGCTAGGGCCCTTCCCTTTGAAGACCCCCCAGCCCAGCCAGCTCACTTGCTACAGGGATATCACACTCCAACAATCTTCTCATGACTCCAGGTTGGATTTCTCACCTAAACCCGTACATCCAATTGCTTTCTTCAATCATTCAGATGTTTTAACCAGATTCACAATAAACATGCCCACACTGAATTCTAGGCAGCACCCAACTCACCACCCAGAAACTCAGGGTCTCAGCAGCTTTCTTCCCCTGCCAACGTCCCTGCCAAATCCAGGCTGCCCTCCAATCAGCTGTTGCCCAGGCCTAGCTTCAACCTCTGCACTGACAGGACTCCTCCCACCTCTCACATCCCTGCATTTACTCTCATCACTCCACCACACAACCCTAATGGCTTTGTGCTACTCTTACGAAAAAGCCCCCAATCCTAACCAGAGCCCCTAAGGCAGGCTCCCTTGCTTGCCATTTCCCTCTCCAGGCCCTGGTCCTTCCCTGCTGGCCCACAATAGCACATGGGCCCACTTTCAGGACCTCCACTGAGCCAATCATCTTCCCACCTCAACTTTCAAACACTGTGTCCCTCTGCATGGTACATTCTTCAGCTCACCATGAGGAAGCAACTCCTTTAACCCAAACACAATTAGGTTTCCATCACACCCTTCCCAGAACCCTAAACCCTTCTTTCAAAGCTGGCATCACTTTGTAGACTACCCAGGTTGCAGTGGGAAGTGATTGTGCTCTGTCCACTATCACCTGTGACTTTGGGCACACAACTTCTCTCTCTAGTGCCTGCATGAGTAGTTTTTGTAAGGATTATGTGAATTTATCTGTGTGAAACAACAACAGTGCTTGACCCAAGTATGCACCAAGTGTATGATATTTATGACTCTGTGTTGCTACTGCCTTACGTCCCAGCCATCTGTCAAAGTACAAGGCCTACCAAAGCACAGATTGTTTGCTTTGCTCACCATTATTTTTGCAGAGTTTTGGTTCTTGTCACACAATGGACATTCAGCAACAATAAATACATAAGTAGATAAGAGAATATAACATCATAACGTGTTATGAAAAAAAATCTGATAATTATATGGAAAACAAAAGCAGCACTCCGAGGAAACCAGAGGTCAGGAAATCAGGCCCTCCAGGACAGAGAGGGTCTGGCAGAGCAGTCATGAAGCAGGAGGGAAGGTGAACAAGCCAGGAAATATTCTTATCAAGTATCCCCAAGGACCCTGCTTGATGTGGAAACCTAAATCCACCAGGCACAGTTCTCTGAATTTTCTTAGCAGACTGCATTGAAGCAGAGATGGTCAATCATCAGATCACAGGTTCACTTAATAAACATTTATTCCACACCTACTATATGCCAAGCACTCTACTAAGCAGAAGAGAGTATATACATAATCCCTGCCCTTGCAGAATTTAACACTAGGTTGAGAGAGGCCAAAACAAGTAGATAAGTAGGAAATGTGATAAACATTCCAAAGTACACAAGTACTATGACAAGAGTTGGAACTATTTTAGTCACGTATACAGTGACCAGCTGATATTTAAGCTAAAATATAAAGGATGAAAAGGACTTTATCATAAAAGAATATTCTCCAGTGCAAACAAAGTGTACGGACCCCAGCGAAGAATGAGCATGGGGAAGCAGGCTGACTTGGTTCAACTGAACAAGGCAGAGAACAGCTTGAGATGAGGCTAAAACAGTGAGCATAGCCAGACTCAGAAGAGGAAATTTGGATTTACTCTAAGTGCAATGGAAAGCCACTGAAGGGTTTTAGGCTGAGCAGTGCTTTGGCATGATTTTTAATTTTTGAGTCACACCTGCTTCTGGGTGGAGAATGGACTGGATGGGGCCAAACATGGAGATAGAGAATCCAGATTGGAAAATGAAAAAATGAAGCACTCCACTTTAAATAAGTTAAAACTGAGATGCTCACATCCTAGTGGGTGTCAAGAGAGCAGCTAGATACAGAGAGAGAGAGAGATTTTGTGTGTGTATGTGTGTGTGTTGGCCAGGAATGGTGGCCTACACCTGTAATCCCAGCAACTGGGTAGGCTGAGGCAAGACAATTGCAAGTTCCAGGCCAGCCTTAGCAACTTAGCATGGTCCTAAGGACTTAATGAGACCCTGTCTCAAAATAAAACACACAAAAAGGGCTGGGGATGTGGTTCAGTGGTTAAGCAACCCTGGGTTCAATCCCCCATCACCAAAAAAAAATAAATAAATAAAAGATCTGGGACCAAGCCATAAATCTGGGAGATGTCCTCATAAGTCACCTATACGGAAAAAAAACATCACAGAAAACAGTGAGAGAGGCTGTTTAAGGGAAAGAGGGCTCCACCCTGAGGAGCTCAAAACTTAGGATAGAAGACAAAAAAATAGGCAGAGAAATAGGAAGAAAATCATGGCACCACTATTTCGAGAAGGAAGGAGTGGTCAACCCAACAAATGCTGGCGAGCTGAATAAACTGACACATCTAGTATCCTTTGAATTTAGTAGGATGGAGGTCACTACTGATGAAGACAAGAAATTTGTAAGTAACACTGTAGTGGACGCGGAGTAAAAGAAAAGTGCAACACTAGACGACAGCTCTTAAGAGAGGTTTAGACACAGTTGTCAAATATGGGAGGAATTAATTGCTGATAGGATAGAACAGCATGCTAGCTTGCAACAGGTTTGAACGTCCAAAACAAGAAATCCCTCTCGCAGCACGTAGCTCAGTGGCAGAAGTGCTTGCCTAGCATGTGTGAGGCCCTCGGTTCGATCCCCAGTACCTCAAAAAAAAGGGAAAAAACCGTCCTACAGAGCGACCCAGATCCCTCAACACACACATGCACACAATAGCTGAACGAAGACGACGATGCTTCCTAGTCGGTAGCTGCAGTGGAGACAAATGCTGGTCACCAGCCCATCTCACGGCAACGTCAGCTCCGGGCTTCCCCCGTAAGGGATGGTTTCAAGAAGAGCTGGAGCTGGGGCAAAGAAGGGGGCCGAGGACGAGCGGCAGAGCCGGACGGCCGCAGCCTTAGAGGCAGCCGGGCCGCCGCAGGCCCCGCGCGCCGCGCCCGCGCCCACCTCGCCGCCTCACCTCCTCTAGATACTCGCCCAGCTGGGCCGCCACGTCCACCTCCCAGTTCTTGGTGAGGTCGCGGATGGGCTGCAAGAGGTGGGCGAAGCGCGCCTCCACGTCCTCCATGTCCGGGAGGGGCCGGGCGGCCGGGGAGCGCAGGGCTGGCTTCAGACAGCGCTCTCGGCCTCAGCCCGCCACTGGTTCTGGCGCCATTTTGCTGTTCCCGCCCAGGAAGTACGTAAGCTCAGTGCCTCGCGCGTACCTATGACGTGCACAGGTCCCTGACTTCTGAACCAACCCCAAGTCAAAGGGCCCTGGAAAAGGGGCGGGGCGCTCTGGGAACCATTCGGGGCGGGGCTTGCAGCTGCCGGGAGCCGGACGCGAAGCAGAAGCTGACTAGTGGGGCGGGGCGGGGCCGCGGGGCGGGGCTACAAGAATGGGGTTGGGCCTGGGGCGGGGTCTTATGGGCGGGGTCATGTGAATGGGGCGGGGCCTGGGGCGGGGTCGTAGGAACCGCGGGCAGCTCTCCAGCCGGTCGCGTAGCGGACATGGCGGGCTCCCGGCTCCCGCGGCAGCTCTTCCTCCAGGGTGTGGCCGGCGTCTTTATGTTCGCCTTCGCTTCCCTCTACACGCAGATCCCGGGTGAGGGCGCCGTGGATGGGACAACACCCCCCAACCTGTGCGCGGGTCCCTGTGTGGTCGCATACCCCGCCACTCCGCATTCGTGCGGTCTGGGGCGAGAGTGAGTCTAGGCCTTGATGTCGCGGTGTGTGACCGCGGTTCGTGTCCTGCGAGCCGCGGGGACGTGGCGGTAGGAAGATGTGCGATGGCTCGTTTCCCGCAGAGTTCGAGTTCTCACCTGGGGTGGGGGTAGAACCCCTGGGAGGGTGGGAAACAGATTTCCGCCCAGACCTGGTGGGGCAGGTAGGAGAGAAACGTGAGCTGTTGGGCAGAAGATGCTGACCCTGGGAGTCGGGCAGTCCTCCTGGACCCAGGGTGGGTATCAACAGGTTCTGTCCTCGGGGGGGGGGGGGGGGGGGCGGGGGGGGTGCAGGGCACCTCTACAGGGAGGGGGAAATCTGTAGACCCTGGGGGGTATCTGCAGACCCTACAGTGGGATGGGGGATACCTGCAGACCGTGGTTCAGGTAAATTTGGCAGGGGCCGCTGTGAGTAGCCCAGGAGTAGCCCTGAAACTGCCCTCCCACAGGCCTCTATGGCCCTGAGGGCATTCTGCCTGCTCGGAGGATGCTTCGGCCACAGGGCAAGGGACACTGGCAGCAACTGTGGGAGACACCAACACTGCTGTGGGAGGCACCAAGGCTGGGGCTGGACACAGCCCAGGGCCTAGAACTGCTGAGCCTGTTAGGCACAGTGCTGGCCCTGGGTGCCCTGCTTCTGCGTCCACTGCGCCACCCCCTCGTCTATCTGCTGCTCTGGGCTGCTTACCTGTCAGCCTGCCAGGCAAGTAGGACCCTTATCTCTTCATCCCCTTCCCACTCCCACCTCTACCTACTTGAGGACAGACACATCTGCCCCCTGACAGCCCTCTCCCTGCAGGTGGGCCAGGTGTTCTTCTATTTCCAGTGGTGAGTGACTCTTGGGCAGGGCTGCTGGAGGCTGGGTAGGAGTTGATTGCCTTTCCCCAAGACCCTTGAGGGGAGGGACCCTTGGTGCCATTTCCTCTCCATGTAGGGATTCCCTGCTGCTGGAAACAGGCTTCCTGGCTGTGCTGGTGGCCCCGCTGAGGCAGTTCCCCAACCGTAAGCAGGCCCAGGGTGGGCTGACAGGGGCCTTGCCCCATGAAGGCCTTCCCTTCTGGCTCGTGCGCTGGCTGCTGTTTCGCCTCATGTTTGCCTCGGGTGTGGTCAAGCTGACCAGCCGCTGCCCCACGTGGTGGGGACTCACTGGTGAGGGTCCTGGCCTGAACCTGGGGTGGTCTGGGGTTCTTTCTAGCCCTGACCACCTGCTTGTCCCTGTAGCCCTCACCTACCACTATGAGACACAGTGCCTGCCCACACCTGCTGCCTGGCTTGCCCACCACCTGCCCGTCTGGCTGCACAAGCTCAGCGTTGTAGCCACGTTCCTCATTGAGATCGCCGTGCCCCCTCTGTTCTTCGCTCCCATTCGCCGCCTGCGCTTGGCCGCCTTCTACGCTCAGGTGGGTAAGAGACAAAGCATGGCTTTCTTTAGTACTGATCAGGGGTCCCTCTTGGGATAGAGCAGTGCTGGGAGACAGGCAGCCTTGCAGCTGGTCTGGAGATTTCGGGTAGGGGGCCGCTGTGAGTGCAGACCCTTCTTAGGTGCTGTTACAAGTCCTCATCATCATCACTGGCAACTACAACTTCTTTAACCTGCTGACCCTGGTGCTCACCACTGCCCTCCTGGATGACCAGCACCTGACTGCTGAGCCTGGTCTTGGCCGCTATAAGAAGACACCCACCTGTGAGTGTCAGCCTGTTCAGAGGCCCACCATCCTCACCCACACTGTCCTCCCAGAGTGTGTCTTTCCCTCCAGCATCCCATGCAGTGCCCCTGCTTTAGCTCCACCCTAGTCCCCTGCTATAAACACTCAGCCAACCTGTAACTGTCCTGCCCACAGCCTGGCCCAAGGCCCTGCTTACCACACTATCCTTGCTGCTGGAACTGGCCGTCTATGGACTGCTGGCCTATGGCACTGTGCACTACTTTGGCCTAGAGGTTGACTGGCAGGAGCACGCCATCCACTCCAGAACCAGTGAGTGCTAGATGCGGGGCCAGGGGCAGGGCGTGGGCCAACCTTCCTCACACTCCCCTTCTTTGGTAGCTTTCACCTTCCACCAGTTCTCCCAGTGGCTGAAGACAGTGACCCTGCCCACTGTGTGGCTGGGGGTGGCCTCCCTGGCCTGGGAGCTGCTGACTGCCCTCTGGAGGTAGGTTCTTGAGTGTACGGGAGTCGGGGAGCTTCCTGGACGGGCCTGAATACACTTGGGCTCCCTCCCTCAGGTGGACCCAGGTGCGGGGGTGGCTGCCGAAGCTCCGTGCTGCTATCCAGCTTTCCATCTTGGGTGCTGCCACAGTGGCCTTGTTCTTGATCAGCCTGGTGAGTAGCAGTATGGGGGAGTGGGGTTGGGGGGGTCTGGGGGTAGCCCTGAGCATTTTGCCCGCCTTTCTGCAGGTGCCCTACTCCTACGTGGAACCTGAGACCCACGGGCGCCTCTGGACTGGAGCTCACCGCCTCTCCGGTGCTGTGGGACACCTGCAGCTTGCCAACTCATATGGCCTTTTCCGACGGATGACTGGCCTGGGTGGGCGCCCTGAGGTGGTGCTGGAGGGCAGTTACAATGGACACCACTGGACGGTGAGCTTCCCACAGGTTGGGGGACTTAGGGGCCAGTCTCACTGGCTCAGCTGACCATGGGCTCACCTGGCAGGAGATCGAGTTCATGTACAAGCCTGGGAATGTGAGCCGGCCGCCCCCTGTCGTGGTGCCCCACCAGCCACGCCTGGATTGGCAAATGTGGTTCGCAGCCCTGGGCCCACACACACACAGCCCCTGGTTCACCAGCCTGGTTCTCCGCCTGCTGCAGGGCAAGGAGCCAGGTGAGGGGGCAGGCTGGGGGAGCCACTGGAGGGGGTGCTGGCCCTCGTGCTGAGCGCCTTCTCCCACCACAGTGATCCACCTGATCCAGAACAACATCACCAGGTACCCCTTTCACAAGCAGCCACCCACCTACATCCGAGCCCAGCGGTACAAGTACTGGTTCTCACAGCCTGGAGAGCAGAGGTGAGGCTGTGGTCCAGGGCGGGAGCTGGATCTGGGCTCCAGCCGTGTGCTGAAGATGCTCCTGTTGCAGCAGGTGGTGGCGTCGGCAGTGGGTGGAGGAGTTCTTCCCACCTGTGTCCCTGGGGGATCCAGCGCTGGAGACACTGCTCAGGCAGTTTGGGCTTCAGGTAGGAGGGTGTCCACCAGGCTGAGGGAGGTGGCAGAGGTAACCTCAATTCTCGAGGTCTTCCTCAATTCTTTTCCCACAGGACAAGAGCCCACCCCGGGCCCGCAACCCCCGCAGCGCCCTGGTTCAGGCCCTCCACTGGGTGCGGACCCAGCTGTCTCCCATAGAGCCTCCCACCCTGCTCTGGGGGCTCCTAGGGGCCGTGGGGGCTGTCAGAGTCATGCAGGCCCTGCTAGTATCCCGGTCACTCAGATCCTCCCCCCGAGACAGAGGGGAGAAGCCCCAGCCAGCCCTCAAGAAGACCTCTGGAGCTGCCTCTGAACAGGCCAGCCGAGCCACCAACAACTTGAGCAGCAGTTCCCGGCCTGCCCGGCAGAAAAAGTAGCTTCGTGTTCTCTCATCCACATATCCTCAGAGGGTTGGGTCCCTGCGGAGTTCTGACCTGCGGGACACGGCCCAGCCACCGTGCCTTAGCTGATCCTCCCAGGACAGACACAGGCTGGGGTGCTGCCCACTGAGGTTGCTACCTTGAGAGCCACAGGTCCTCCAAGGCTACCACCTTCCTCCCCAGTCACTCCCCCACCCCTGTGCCTTGGCTGTCGGCTTGGGAGGTGGACATGTAGCCCAGTGCTGGATCCTTCCTGGGACACTGAAGTCAGCGCATGGAGGCCCTGCTCCTTCCCTGGGCCAGAGGGTCTGAGTCTGGAGCCCCTGACCCCAGTGCCCATGTGGGGGGATAAGGTGCAGTCATTAAGGAGGAGAGCAGGCAGAGCAGCCGCCTGTGGTATCGCCACACCAGCTGCCATCCTTCAATGCTCCCACCAATAAAGGTGTCCTTCATGCTTGCTGTGTGCCCAGTGTGCTTCCTGCTGGGGATCCCTGAGGACAGTGGGCAAGACCCCAGTGTCTACCACTAACCTGGCTTAATGGATGTCCTCCCCAATTCTCCTCAATGTTCTCCTTCATAAAATAGACACAAGGGCCTGACCACAAGGGATTTCACAGCCTCTGTGACCTGTAGGACAAAGCCCAGCCACTGTGCCTTGGACTGTGGAGCTGTTGCTGGATTGTAGAGCCTGAACCCAAGTCCTTCCTCCCTCCTGCTCTGCTTTCTGGTCTTGAGAAAGGACAGAAGGGTTAGAGTAGGCAGAGGGAGGTGGTGAGGTGGGCAAAAGCCGAGGGTTTGGGGTAAGGAGCAAAGGTGTACCCAGTCCCCTCCTGGAGGAGGACACCAGGGAGGTGGAAATTGGCACTGTCCAGGTTTCTGCTGGGGGTCACCTTTCAGTCAGA